ATCAGTTGACGGAAATCATCGGAGTTGGAACACACTTCTGCAAAACCTTACAAGTTAACACCAGATCAAGAAGACTATTCGGCTCTATCCTACATGCTATTTATATAATCATAGCTTAAAATGAAAATATATAGAAATAGATATAGATAAATAGCCATAAAATGATATGGTTAGTTCTTTTCAATATTGAGTATGTCTATTTGTATGTATGTGCATTTGTGCGTTTACGTATGTAAGTAGTACCAGTCATAACTAATCAAGACTTACGCAATCTCAATCATACTTTTCCTTGAGCCATTTAGTCTTGATGACCCGGGCCTGGCGTCAGGCTTTTGTAATTACTCTGAGTCATGATTTGTATTGTGTACAAGCGTTAATACACTCATAAACACAAAGACATACTCTAGTAGACGTACCCGATTCGTATTAAATGAACATTTTATATATTTTCGTTTTTACTTATGAGTATATATAACATATACGATAGAGCCAAATAGTTTACTTGACTTAATGAATTCAAGCTCTGATGATTTCAGTCATATCATGGACGAAAGCTCAGTCCTGTTCCTTCTGAAACGAGGGAGAATGTCCCGTAGACTACGTCAACCAGAATGTTGTAAGGCTTCTGAACCACGGGAATCAGCCATCATCTTCTGGTTAAGCCGACTTACAAATTTCTTCATTAAGCACATTCATACGAAATGAAAGTCTCCAAAACAATGTTATTTTAAACGACTTGTGATTTCTGACAAGTTGGGCGAACAATACTTTCTTCAGTGGTGGTTTGACTTTGTCTTCGCAACTTGGTCGGAGCGACGGCGAAACCTTGTGGAACGTACCTAGTTCTGCATCCTCTGCCATCGTATTCATGATGATTTCCAGCATCGGACCGGTGACTTGGTACACTGCAGGAGTTACTTTCCTTACCTCATTATATACTAATGAGAAGTAGAGTTGTCAAGATACCTGATATCCGAGTCTTAACAAAAGGGATGAAAATAAGCTTCAATGAGACTATTTTGTTTGTATCGAGTGTGATATGCACTGATCTCGTATGAAGTTGCAGGAAATGCTAGCGTATCTCTTCCAGATGAACTCAAGGAAGAGGTTAATTTTGCATTGAAATTCACTACGCCATGCATCCTCAAAGGCTTCTATTGTCCGGGTTTGACTGCAATTTCGAACTCATTTCGGTCTCATTGACACCTCCAACCGAATTTGAGCCTTGAATGTTCATATTTAGAGTAAAGAAGTCTGTCATGCATGCAGTAAAACTCGACGAGGCTGGGACCAAGTTGCCCAATGTTCAGTGTCTTTTTTCCCGAATGAGGGTTACTCAGAACCCACTTATCCACGGCTCGAAAACAGATGAGAGAGAAACTGGGGTCCAGATTGATGTATGGGTGGAATCGGTATCAAGTTAAGCTGGTGCATATCGACAAAATTACCGATTAAGACTTGAAAAAAGGAAAAGTGTGTAGTAAGCAACAAGAACAAAAAAATGTAGGGCAACTATGATAGTCTACTCGATGAACTCGGCCATAGCGGGTGTTAGAGAGCGCACTGTCTCTGTTCTGCCCATCCGAAAGAGCCGCATTAATGCGGGTTCGTAGGTGAGCGGCAGACGGCCATGTAGACGGCGATAGGCCAGTTGGAGAGCAGCCTGCAAATAAGCGTCCGGGCTGATTCGGCACGACGTGATGAAATCGCGTCCATAACCTGTGAAATAGCTCACGACAAGATCAAAATCGTCAGATTGCTGGAAAGGAAGTCGGTTCAAAGTCATGGCGGTTGAAAGTTGTCCCAAGTGAGTCCAAGAGGTGCGAAGATGAAAATGTGAAAAATAAAGTTCAGGACAGGCAGAGACATGGAAAAGGAGAATGATATTGAATAAGAGGAAGAGGATAAATAAGAAAATATAAAGAAATATACCAGTAGAAATGTAAGGCTGGCGGGCAAATAGAAAGATGGGCTGCTTTGGTCCTCCTCGAATGAAATCTAGAAACAAGGCAGATGGGACTACTAGGGCTCTGACAGTTGGCAAACCCAAAGCCAATGGTGATGGAGAGTAGAGGACAAATGGAGCTTACACATAGATTCTAACCTAAACTCCGGATTAATAAAGGTATTGTTGTGGAGACTTTTATTTCATATGAAAGTAAATGGGATAGAGATTCGAACGTCGATGTCAACAGAAGACGATGGCTGATTCCCATTCTATTGCAGCCGTTTGCCTTTAATACCACGTTCAAGTTGACGCAGTTCACATCCTTCCTCGTTTCAGGTGAAAACGGGGTGAGCCTACGTCCATCATATGATAAACATTATCAGAAGTGAAACGGATTCTTATAAAAGTCCCACGTTAACATACATTAAGTCAAGAATTTTTCGTTTATAAGTAGGCTTTCGCGACTACCAATGATCGTATATACGAGATGTCTTCATCCTATTTCGTTTAGGGCGATAAGGGGACTTCTAGTAGAATTTTCCAACAATGATATTGGTAAGCATGACGTTTCCATTGAATTTCATATTGCCTTGCTTTCTAAAAAGCTATTCTCATCCAGGGTGGACTGCAGTTTCAACCTTGCAGTGCATTCTGGATGAGAATACCTATTAGGAAAGCAAGGATATGTGAAGTTTAATGGAAACGTCAGCTGTATTCATATCACTGTGGGAAAATTCAACTTCAAATTATCACCCTAAGCGAAATATGATGAATACATCTCATACTAGGTCAAGAAGAATATCTGGCTCTATCTTACCTCTTATAAATAATCATAATTAAAAAATTAAAATGAATAGGCATAGATACATATAGAATGGTTTGGCCAATTATCTTTCGTATTGGTCCTGATACTTTTGCCTCAATGTGTCTGTTTGTGTGCTAGCGTCTATGCGTAATACCGGTCCTAAATCAAAGTGATCAAAAAATCCTAATGTCAGGCTCTGGTCATCAAGGCTTAATGACGAGAGAAAAAGCCATGACCGAGACTGGGTAGGTCCGTAGGCAAATATAGTTGAGGTAACGAAATGTAGGCCTGTAAGCATGTAAGTATATAAGTTAACTTGAACGTCGTATAAAGCTAAATGGCCGAAGTACGACGGGAATCAGCCGTCGTCTTCTGATGAGATCGAACTTCAAGTTTCTTCTTTATGCATTTTCATACGAAATGAAAGTCACCCTAAGAATGTTATAATAACAAATTCATCGAGGCCCACTTGCTCTTCGCATCTACAATGTGCATATGCTTAAACTCCTTGTCAATTCGTAACTAAGTAGGGTTTCGATACTACCAGTAAATCAGTGTAATGAGATGTATTCACCCTATTTCGTCTAAGGTGA